GATATAAATGTGACTAATAATATAAAAGCAATCGTTATAATACTTTTTGTATACATTTTAATTCCTTTGTTTAACAGTTCTTTCTGATTATTAAACCGACTTCTATCCGTATTAGACAGAACTGTTAACGATGACAGCGAACAGGGAGAATGTGAGCACTGTGTGTTCAAGCGCTCCCGCTCTCAGTGCTGTCAAAATATAAGTCCCGCCTCGAACGTATCGGCCAAACAGAAAAACTTATCGGCCGATGCCGATATTTGAAAAATGCCAAATATCGGCAGATATATCGGCCTTGGCGATATATCGGTCTACCACTAAACTACACTATCCAGAATCCTGAAGCACAAATCTACCTCACAAATAAAAGTCAGGGATGAATGGCTGTGTGCCAGGATAGTGACTTGAAATCATTTTTGGTCCCAAACGTGTGTTTTCCGTAATATCTCCATAATATATCTAACTGCAAATGCTTTACTCACATGTTGGCGTTTAATCTTGGCAGGGGGGCTGGCCTGGGGGGAGTTTTTCTTGGAGGGAGGTTGAGCAGGTGGGTTCTGCCCCCCTGACTGGCTGGGAAAATGAAAATTCTGTCATTAATTACTCACCCTCATGCTGTTCCAAACCCGTGAGACCTTCGTTCATCTTCGGAACACTAATTAAGATATTTTGGATGAAATCTGAGAGCTCTCCGACCCTCCCATAGATAGCAACGGTCATGAAACTCCAGAAAGGTCCCAAAAACATTGTCAAAACAGTCCATGTGACTTCAGTGGTTCAACCGTAATTTTATGAAGCTACGAGAATACTTTTGTGCGCAAAAAAAAAATGAAATAACGACTTTATTCTAAAATTACTTCTCTTCAACGTAAGTTCAGGACGCGCGTTCATGAAGGCACTACGACGTATGCGTCTTCTTCTGCTTGTAAACAAGGCGCGGGCGTCATAGTGCCCTCGTGAATGCGCATCCTGAAGAAACTGTCGCATAAAGTCGTTATTTCAGTTTTTTTCTCGTAACTTACAATTTTTCTCGTAGCTTCATAAAATTACGGTTGAACCACTGAAGTCACATGGACTGTTTTGACAATGTTTTTGGGACCTTTCTGGAGTTTCATGACGTTGCTATCTATGGGAGGGTCAGAGAGCTCTCAGATTTCATCCAAAATATCTTAATTTGTGTTACGAAAATGAACAAAGGTCTCACGGGTTTGGAACAGCATGAGGGTGAGTAATTAATGACAGAATTTTCATTTTTGGGTGAACTATCCCTTTAAACCTATTAATACCTTTGAGCTGTTTAGCATAGCGCAGCAGAAACTGGTAGGGGTGCTCAACTTGTAAATCAAACTTGATTGTCTGGAGTAAAATTCTCTCCAGGACCATGACCTCTTCCTGTGGAGACAATTCCATGAAACACAGTGATGTTTAATACAGTAGGAACATCACAAGAATGAGAATTTGTGTTTTGAATGGATTCCAAACCTTCGGATCATCTCCAAACTGTGCAAACTGCACATCATTAAGCAGACTCCGAGCCGTTTTAATGATGTCTTTACACTTCTTGGGGGTTTCTTCCACTTTGCCAGCCAGGAAAAGACAACAAGCCCCAGTCACCTGTATAGAGAAACATAAAGCTTTTAAACACGACTAAATTTAGAGTGTGCTACATGCTACAGCAACAAAGATCTTAACATAGACACTGTGTTTACTCGGTCCCTTTTGTTTTTTCCCTCCTGGCACAACAGAATACTTTTTCAACATTTGAAAACCTTTTCCTTGAAAGCCATCAAAATGATAAAACAGACCGTTTTTACCCCCAAATAACTCTAGATAATCACAACTTGGACCAAGCAGCAATTTTTTGGTTTTGTATATTAAATGGTTTTGTAGATTAACTAGGTTTAATTCAAAGTAGGAATCAAGATCAAATAAATGAGTTTATTAGAGAATATCAATAAGCAGTGATATGTTCACCTAGAGTGAAACATATAAAACAATAAACACTAATAATAATCATTAAAAGGCTTTATTCTTTGAATTCATCTAAAAAAAAAAAAAAAACATATTGGAATCGTAATTGAAACGGTTTCAGAAAATTCTGATATTAGAATAAATAAATGATAAATTCTGATATGTGACCCTGGACCACAAAACCAGTCAAAAGAGTCAATTTTTCAAAATTGAGATTTATAGGGCTCTACAGTGCGACCATTTCAGTCGCATTTGCGACTGAAAACTACTGCGCGCGACTACGAAAATTGTTTTAGGAGCAACAGTGCGACTGACCCGATCATCATTTAATGGGAAGGCTACTTTTTGATAAAATTTTGGATTATTGATTAGAAGGTGCTCCTAAAATTTTGAATGTGCTCCTAAAAAGAAAAGTAAGCGTAGAGCCCTGTACATAATCTGAAAGCTGAATAAATAAGCTTTCCATTGATGTATGGTTTGTTAGGATAGGACAATATTTGGCCGAGATACAACTATTTGAAAATCTGGAATCTGAGGGTGCAAAAAAATCAAAATATTGAGAAAATCGCCTTTAAAGTTGTCTAAATGAAGTTCTTAGCAATGCATATTACTAATCAAACATTAAGTTTTAATATATTTACAGTAGGAAATTTACAAAATATCTTCATGGAACATGGTCTTTACTTAATATCCTAATGATTTTTGGCATAAAAGAAAAATCAATAATTTTGACCCATACAATGTATTTTTGGCTATTGCTACAAATATACCCCAGCGACTTAAGACTGGTTTTGTGCTCCAGGGTCACATATTAGAATAAATAAATGATAAATTACCCCAAAGCAGTACTTTGCCTATAAACACTGTAAACTATTAGGCATTATATGGTAGGATGAAAAGAAAATGCTACGGATTAAATAATCTGCCAAAATGCATCAAATGTAAAAAAGTATCAGATTGTCAAGAGCATAAACACTTACATATCTGGGAAACTGTTTGAATGAATGAAACATGTAAAAACGATGAAAGTATGTTATTCCAGTTGCCAGAGTGTCATAATGTCTTAAACATTGGTTAAGGATCATATAAAAATCCTCTCAGTATTTCAAAATCATTCCTACACTGAACTGGTAATACATTGTAAATGGCCGTGTTAGAAGGATACAGTCCCAGACGTGTCCCGACGTCGAATATGAACCGGGCTCCCTCTCGTCTGTACCGGGCTTCTGTGGCTGGATCCAGGCCATCGGACTGGGACGGGGTGTGGGCCAGATCCTTCTTGTCCCAGTACCAGCATGGCTTTGTGTGGTCCAGATTTGTGGCAAAACTTCCAGCAGCGGCGGTAGAGTTCTCCTTGCCGTCCTTCATTTGGAAGGAAGTGACAGCTGATGCCAAACTGGACTATCAGGCCGCCGTTGGACAGCAATAGCTGTGCAGGTCTGTACAGCAAAGGACTGAGGATATCAGTCAGTTAATTAACATATCTGCTTAAAAGACAATTCCTATTCAGAAAACATTATCAGTTTGACTGTACTGACACGATTGGATGAACTTGAACTAAATTGAGCTTCTGCAGAGCCGTTTTAAAGCTGAGATTGAAGTTTGTTTTATAATTAACACATTTTATAACAGTTATTTTACTGTGTATTACTGTAAAGGTGGCTTTAAAAAAAAAAAAACTGTTGAAGCGCTATATAAACAAATTTGACTTGGCACTTCCACTGGAGGTAAAGACTTTATAAAGCTATAATTAACACTGGATTCCAATACTGATCACAAAAAAACATGTCTTTTGGACATTGTTATCAGTGAACATAATACTTCAAGATGATTTCAGGTAAGTATGTGAAGCGGACAAGAGAAAATACCACAGTCAGTTCCATACCATGGTGAATGGTGAGTAAAATTAAAAAAACATGTCTACTATAAATTTGCCGAAATCTTTTTTCTGACTGCAACATTATTTTATGACAATTACGAACATTTCATAGCTAAATCGCCATTACAGCAAAGCTCCTGAACATGAAACCATTGTTACTGCAATTTCCGTTTTTCTCAATGAAGATTCTGATTCGATTATTAAAGGTTCCGTACATTATTAAAATATATTTATCATTTTTTTTCAAACTTTTTACTTTATAAAAGTTTAAAAAACGTAGTATTAGTATTGTTAAGACTCAAACCATTATTCATTTCATATAGTAATAAAACTGAATCACAACAAACATTTCTTCGATGTATAACACTGTATACACACAATTCAGACAGCTTTAAAATCGTAAGAATTTGTAGAGTTGAAAACAATCAAATTCGAAGTAACACTAAAAAATTTGCCGAAATCTTTTTTCTGACTGCAACATTATTTTATGACAATTACGAACATTTCATAGCTAAATCGCCATTACAGCAAAGCTCCTGAACATGAAACCATTGTTACTGCAATTTCCGTTTTTCTCAATGAAGATTCTGATTCGATTATTAAAGGTTCCGTACATTATTAAAATATATTTATGATTTTTTTCAAACTTTTTACTTTATAAAAGTTTAAAAAACGTAGTATTAGTATTGTTAAGACTCAAACCATTATTCATTTCATATAGCAATACAACTGAATTACAACAAACATTTCTTCGATGTATAACACTGTATACACACAATTCAGACAGCTTTAAAATCGTAAGAATTTGTAGAGTTGAAAACAATCAAATTCGAAGTAACACTAAAAAATAGTCTTGATTTAAAGCAAACCATAATTTCTAGGAACACAGACATGCTGTTGACAGTTTTCATGACATCCACCAAACAGCGGATTCCCATCAGACAACTGTACTACATCATGGTTACTGGCAGGAAAATCACAATAAATAAGCCCACATTCGAGGCCGTTAATCACATGTAACGTTACCATATTTAAAGCTCTATTTAAAGTATACGGGAATCATTTGTTTGGCGAGCTCACGTGTCATCAGCTACAGCCCACACTGAAACACCAAATCTATCAGATATCTCTGATCACATATAATATTATGTGACGAACGTAGCTGATTATCCAGTAAATCTGATGTTTATGTGAAAAGAGCAGTTTGATCTTTTATCCCTCAATTCATTTTGACAGCGGGAGTAAAGCGCTTTCAATACCGCTCACGGAAGATCAGATTAATTACTCATCCTTCATTTTATAAAACATGCTTAACTAATCTCTAATCTTACCGTTATGGTATATGATTCGATTATGATCTCGATGAGTTGAGCAGTTAGATAAAATTGTAATCTTTGTCAGTCTTCATATTCACGACATGGAGGCGGCCATTTACAGCGCGTCTTCTTTTGCCTCTTCTCAGCAGCGCTCTTGCGCCATTAAACCCACTGGAGCCGCATTAGCGCCTCCTGCAGGCTTGGAGGACATACACTCCAAAAGACATAAAACCACACTCGTTATGCAGCTCCATTTGAGCAATAAATTATGTAATAGAATGGATAAAAAACATTATCTACAATGACCACCTAACTGTACGCCACTCATGGAGTAAGTGTTATGGTTAATATTTGCTAAATAGTGCTTTATGAATGCGTGCAGCGGTCAGGTGATGCAACTGTAGTTAGTTTCACATGGATGTGTGAACGTTTTTTTGTTGTGTGAACTTGCCTTTGTCACAGTACTGCAAAAGTAAGTTATGTTTGATCGATATGGACTAGAATCTGATTTGATGTTTTTCAACCTCTTTAAACTATCCTTTCAGCCTTTTCAGCCAGGGGAGGGGGAAAACACAAAAGCTTATACTGTATATATGGTGCAATATTAAAAATGTACCTTAAATCTTCCCATAGCCTACTTATTTTTCCGGTTCCCTAAATTTTCCTTTCACTACAGAACCTAGTTATTCGCAATCAGTGTTGGGAAGGTTATATTGGAAATGTAATAGGTTACAGATTACAAGTTACCCTATTTAAAATGTAATAAGCAGTGTAACTATTTCAGTTACTTTATTAAAGTAATTACTATTACATGATACTATTACATAAAGTAACTGATTACGTTTGGATTACTTTTCTAAATTTCGAGTGATTTCAACTGTTAATCCTTTTCAAGCATGTTAACATTACAGTAGCACTGATTATTGTCACTTTCGAAATCCTTCATCACTTCAATTAAGATTATAATAATTTAATTTTAAAGCACAGCCACCACAAAATCAGACTTACTTGCGATCATTCTGAGGTTAAATACAGATTTAAAACTATACCACCAAGAAATAGTTTAGTAGCTATGATACTGTTTTTGAAATCAAATCTTTGCATAGCTATGACCGGAAACACAGGCATGGGGGAAAAAACAGTTCATCTTAAAAACTAAAGCATATACATAAATCCAAATAGGAAATAAAACAGTTATCGAATAAGCATGTCTCCTATTCTGTGTCCTAAATTGGTGTCTCATATTTTAGAGCAGTCACTGCAATTTATGAAAGAAATCAATTAAATGTATTTGTATGTGAAAAAAAATCAGATGTAACCCCCTTTGTAATCGTTAACGTTTTCATAAGTAACTGTAATTTAATTACACATTTTTTCTCAGTAACTGATTACAATTACATTTATTTTGTAATTAAATTGCGTAATTTAGTTACAGCTAGTTACTCCCCAACACTGTTCGCAATTTGGATTTTTAGGATTTTATTTAAATCATTGTACTAAAATCCTTAAAACTGTGGTTATAAAAATGGTAGTCAAAACGCCATGGTAATTACATTTTTAATATAATGGTTAATTTTCGAATGGGATTTGAGGCACTAAGTAACAGTTTGTTGGTAAATCTGATTTAGTATGATTATTCTTACACTCTAAAAAATGCTGGGTTAAATACAACCCAGTGCTGGGTAAAATAGGGACAAACCCAGCAATTGGGCTGTTTTGACCCAGCGGTTGGGTTAAATGTTTAACCCAACCTTCTGGGTAGTAACCCAACCGCTGGGTCAAAACAGCCCAATTGCTGGGTTGGTTAAACATTTAACCCAACCGCTGGGTCAAAACAACCCAATTGCTGGGGTTGTCCCTATTTTACCCAGCACTGGGTTATATTTAACCCAGCATTTTTAGAGTATATGCTTTTTACGAGACAATTTGTTTAGCCAAAGTATTAATGATTGTATGTTTTGTTTTACTTCATACATATGTATTAAATTATGTTAACTTTGAGGGAAAAGACTGATGATGTGATTGCTGTGAGAGATACTCTAATATGAAGCCACGCTGATAGCATGCACTCTAAAAAATGCTGGGTTAAATACAACCCAGTGCTGGGTAAAATAGGGACAACCCCAGCAATTGGGTTGTTTTGACCCAGCGGTTGGGTTAAATGTTTAACCCAACCTTCTGAGTAGAAACCCAACCGCTGGGTCAAAACAACCCAATTGCTGGGGTTGTCCCTATTTTACCCAGCACTGGGTTATATTTAACCCAGCATTTTTAGAGTATATGCTTTTACACTCTAAAAAATGCTGGGTTAAATACAACCCAGTGCTGGGTAAAATAGGGACAACCCCAGCAATTGGGTTGTTTTGACCCAGCGGTTGGGTTACTACCCAGAAGGTTGGGTTAAACATTTAACCCAACCGCTGGGTCAAAACAGCCCAATTGCTGGGTTTGTCCCTATTTTACCCAGCACTGGGTTATATTTAACCCAGCATTTTTTATACTTTTTACGAGACAACTTGTTTAACCAAAGTATTAATGATTGTATGTTTTGTTTTACTTCATATGTATGTATTAAATTATGTTAACCTTGAGGGAAAAGACTGATGATGTGATTGCTGAGAGAGATACTCTAATATGAAGCCACGCTGATAGCACCTACTTATATTAGACAAATATCAGATATTTTAACACTGTAATGTGTCATGTGGGTTATTGATCTAATACAAATGCATGCAACAAAATCCTATTTAAGAACAAAGTAGCTACGGTATGCCTGCTCTTATGCTGTCAGCAGAGGGCAGTACTGCTTAGTAGTTTGCACTGTGGCGTGATCTGCCTTACAAAACTGCTGGCTGATCTCCACCATCACATCCCTGACCACTTTTGATCAGCCAATGAACAAACAGTTTAATGTAAACGCCACAAATCACACCACCATATACACATCATTTACTAACGCACATGTAAGTCCATATATCATTGAGTCAATTACAACAACAAATTTTATTTTGGTCCTCATGCACAATTTTTCATAATAAATAAAGATAAAAAAAGATACATAATGACTGAAAATGTGTAGGCTGGAGCCTTATTTTGCCTACCCTTTTGACATATTTATCTAATGAATGACACTTTTCTCACAATATCTGAGCTAGAAAAACAGAAACATTTCCCAAAATCTAGGCCTACATAACAAAAGTACACATTTCAAACATTAATACAACAGTTTATATGTTACCTACACAAATTATTCATATTGAGTTATATAATTATTTATCACACCTTTTTTAAACATTTTCTTGAATTTACAAAGTGAACTACACATTTTTAATTCCTTGTCACAGTTTACCCTTTTGATAGATATACATCTAATTTTTATATTAATTCTTGCCCTTATTTTTTAAACAACCAATTGCTTGCAAACATCAAGTTTGTCAGCACTCTACACCTCAGGTTTAGTAATGTATTATATTTAGTAAAAATTTTATATTTAGCCCCACTATTTTATGTCAGTTTCCCTGGAAGTTCTCTTGAATTATCATAGAATTCTGCATAATATGCAAATTGTTTGCGATATTTTGAATTTTGACATATTAGCACCATGGATGTAAACATTGCTTTTCTCGTTGTGGACAATGTTACTGGACATAAATACACCTGTATTATATTTTTGGTCTGTTTTTCCAGAAGCTAAAGACAGCAAATTCATAAGCGCATATATTTGCTAAAAAAAAATAAAAATACAAGCATGTAGATGACATCAAGTTTATGCATTCCATATTCAGCCCCACAAATATCTCTTCAATATTACTCTTCATACTTGCAAAGGGGGGAAAAAATTAGTTTGTATGAATTTCCACACTATCAGAAAACAGTTTCAATTAAAATTAAAATAGATCCATGCCTTGAATAGTGGCTTGAATGTGTAACACCGGCTGCTAGGCAACCATTCATTAGCACAACTAAAGAAGACCAAGTTATTACTTAAGTATGATCAGGTAATTTAGTGATTATGTTATCATTACGCGCCGTCCTCTGCAGCAACTGAACAAAACAGCCAAAATATACCATAATGCTGGCTAAAATGTGCACTTACATCAAATGCTTATGAAAACATAAGTAGCTTTTATAGTGTTCTTCAAACATACACAGTGGGCCTAAATTAGAGAGTCATTTATGTCATCATATCCACCAACACAATTACTTACGCTCGCTATAAAGTTGGGTCTTCTTGTAAACAAGAAAATTAAGAAGAGCTTAAAGACTGCTCCAGTGCCGTCAGAGACCCAGTGGAATATAACCGCTGCGGTGTGATTATTAAAATGAGAATCTAATGATTTGCCTCTGCCAAGGTCAGACGAGGTTTAATTAGGAAAAATGCAATCAGCGACACCGTGCCTTTTTCTAAATGCAGTTTGGGCCAGTGCCAGCTTCAGCTCAAGACACAGTCTTTAATAAAGGACGGTTGCCATCTTGTGCTGCTGGCTGAAATGAAGCCATGATGGGAAGCTCCTGAGGTTGAAGTGAACAGGACGTTCAACAGAGGAAACGTCACAAAACATTACACTAAATACATAAACCTCTTTGTCATTTTATACCTTTATGACTGTTTTTCCATGGAACACAACAGGAGGAATGTTCACTTTGCTTTCTCCCACGAAAGCATTTATTACACATTGGCTATCAAACTCTGAGAATGCAAAGCAACATCCCAAGTCTAATTAGGCTTGTGTTACAAGGTGTTAATTAGGTGTTACACAAAGCTAGTTTCAGAGTAGGTTTAGAGACAAAATCGAACAAATCAACCCGGTTCAGGTTAGGTTTAGCGGGTTCACAATTCTTCAAAAAAAAAAAAAATTACGGTAAAACATTCGCAGCTGTGATTGCCAGAACTTTACCGTAAAAATATGATAGCAACCATTTTAGGTTTTACGAGTTGAACTTTAATTTTATGGAAAATAAAACTTATATTTGATAAACTGATATAACGTTAATATACCAACCCACTGAAGTCTGTTTTTTAACCTTTATAATACTCTGACAGCCACCAAAAAAACACAGGTGGTAATGGGAAAGCCACACGTAGAATCAAAGCTCATCACAAGCAGCTTTTCCATAAGATGAGGTGAATACTAATATATAGAAAGTGAACACGAATACACAATACAAAAAAATTAAAGTACAAAACAAATGTGTGGAATCTGCAGTAAACAGTCAATCACACGAAACAGCATCAGTTTGATTCACTTCTCTCAAGAGAGTTGCACAATTCACTTCTCTGCTGAAAATGAGAAAAAATATCATGAATTGACATATTTACAAACTAAGTAAGTCAAGTCAAGTCAAGTAACCTTTATTTATATAGCGCTTTTAACAATACAGATTGTGTCAAAGCAACTGTACAGCATTAATTAGGAAAATAGTGTTAGCAAATTAGCAAAATTACAACAGTAAACACTAATTTTTCAGTTAAAGGCAGTTCATCATTGAATTCAGTGATGTCATCATCCAGCTCAGTTCAGTTTAAATAGTATCTGTGCAATCAAGTCAACGATATCGCTGGAAATGTGAAAAGTGTCCCCAACTAAGCAAGCCAGAGGCGACAGCGGCAAGGAACCGAAACTCCATCGGTGACAGAATGGAGAAAAAACCTTGGGAGAAACCAGGCTCAGTCGGGGGGCCAGTTCTCCTCTGACCAGACGAAACCAGCAGTTCAATTCCAGGCTGCAGCAAAGTCACATTGTGCAGAGGATTCAACTGTGACCCACAGGACTCAACTGGTTCCTGTGGTCTTGTCTAGGAGACAATTTGTATAGGTTCACGAAGAGCTTAAAGGATGCAAGTTTAGCAATTTTTAAAGGTTTATATTCTGGTTGGGGGGGTTGCGGTGGTAGGGGGTATTGTACCGCATATGTCGTGGCATGAGTCGCATAAAGTTTGAAGCATTAGAGGCATCAAACGCCATTGGTTTTTGTTTATCTCATGACCAAATGTTATTGAATCACCCCAGCCATTTTTAGAGCTACTGCAGAGGGCTGCAGATCTGTTCCTAGCAAAAATCACAGGGCTTCAAAAGACTTGAATCACAGTGCATCAGTGGACCATTGTACTATATAAAAGTAGTATTGCACTTATATGGAACTTTTTTCACCTTTTGTTACACATACGAAAAGAAAAACAGTAGCAATATGAGTTTGGACTTTAATGGTTTATATGAAAATTACATTTTAAGTGTACCAGCTATTTTTAAGACTGTTACTTTAAGACAGATAGTTTGGATTTAGATTAGTTTAAGATCTCTCTGTGTGGGGTCATAACCAATTAAATATGACATTTTAAAGGTCAAGTCAATACAGACTGTTTTGAAGCAGCTTCACAGTAATAAACAAGAAAATAACAGTATTATTATGATTCAACTATGAACTGGATATAATTTTAGCTGTGAAGCAGCTCCAAAAAGACATTAGTGTCATTATTCATCTCAAGTCAGCTTAGCCCAAGCACTAATGTAATTTATGTACATATATTAATTTTCCATTTATAAAATATATTGTCATTTTAAGTAAAACATACAAACAAGCTTTTGGAAATTGTAACAATTTTATAGTATATATATATATATATATCCCATACAAATATTTATGTTTATGTATATGTAATACATTAAAAAAAAGTACATAATGTACATAATTATTCATCCTAAAAACCTGTCAATACATGCTGATATCATATAGGTAAATATAAAGGATAGACATGTATAAAAACATACAGTTCAAAACATACAGTATAAGCAGACAGCTTTTTGGATATATGTTGTTTTAATAAAGTTGCATATATAAATAAAATATATATTGTCAAAAATCATCATATAGATGTTATTAACATATGTATACAAGTTTTACTATAGGGATTTTATATAAACTTATATGTTATAAACTTATATCTGCATCTTCCCAGAGAATGTACGTATTTGAAAATGATATGTCACCTTACAGGTAACACAGTACATGGCAATATCACTTGTATTATGATATAGGGCAATATAATATAGTACATCTCTGTATGGGAGTGTTGGTTCAGTTCAGTTCAGTAACAGTGTCATTATCCGGCTCAATTTAGTTCAAGTTTTGTGACAAGTGCAGTCAAATTGACAATATTACTGAAAATTAAAGCCCTTTTTATTTAAACTGCAATGACAAGATGTCATTTTAAAACCTGCCGTGTCTTTTTGCATACACGACGCATAATTTTATCTTAAATAGTAATAGTAAAAATAATTGCTATTGGATGGCTGTCTCCAGTCCATGCTGAATAATTCAGTCTCATTCAGTCTTGACCTTGAAAGCGTAAGACTTTCTGTCGTTTACTGCTTTGTATTAGAATGTGTTGCTTTTCTATTGTGGAGAAAACGCTTGCTGTATCACAACATCTCTCTGGAGCTAAGCCTGACTGCTTTTTTGTTTTTTGTCTGACCCAGTTTCTGTGCTTGAGCTGCTGCCACTGCTGCTGGGGGAGGTCCTTTCACATCCTGCTCATGCTGAACAGGCCGAGCCATCCCCAGAGCAGGCCTACCTCTCCAACATACACATATCACCCCATTAAGAGCTGTCATTTTAGAGATACAGCAGTTTCAGCAATATTCCAACAATTTGTTGCTTGAGGGAGAAGCCTCCAGTATGTATTGTTAATGGTGAGATACACATCTGCAAGTAACAGAATTGGTTACTGCATGAAATTAGCTGCTCTTGCCACTTAAAACAGCATACAACTTAATTGACAGCTGAATAATATAGCGAAAACACAATATAATATTTTTTTTCTGTGAGTTTTAGAGCACGGAATGATATATCACGTGATTCAGTCCATATCTGTGTGATGTGCTGGGGCTGCAGAGAAATGGATTGAGACCAATTCCACTGCACTGAAGAAAATCTGGCATGGAATTGTTGATATTCAGAGAGTGGGTTGCCGATTGCTGATTTAATGTTGATGACTGTGTCAGAAATCAGAAAAATGCTACCTTTCTGAGTGTTTACGGACGTAGAAGGGCAGCAACGAAAGTCAGAATGCAACGTCTATGTAACATGTTTCTATTACGATGAGTTCATGTGGTTGGTTTTTGAAGGCAATGTGTAGCCTTACCATGTAACCAATATCTCACAGTCCCGTGCATATGGATCAGCAGTTGGGGGAAAGAATAGTAATGGCGCAAGTCATAAATGTTTTTTATTGAAAACTTGTTTTTGAGTTTTATTAAACACTGTAGTCACTGTTTCCGAAGCTTACTTGTATTTGTTGTATCAGGGGTCTCCAGACCTGTTCCTGGAAAGCTAGCGTCCTTCGGATTTGAGCTCCAACCCTCAACCCTGATCAGCTAATCAAGGTAGGTTTAGGGTTAATTAATATTTACAGGCAGGTGTGTTGGAGCAGGGTTAGAACTGAAGTCTGCAGGACAGGAGCTCGCCTGGTAGACCATAAAGCAAGATTAGTCCTACACATATGTGTTCCTATAGCCCAGCATGCACATGGCAACCCCAAAGTAATAAGTTCAATTCCTTAAGAAATGCATGGACAAAATGTATATCCTGAATTTGCTTTGGAAGGAAGCATCTATCAAATGCATAAGTGCAGGCATGCTGTTAAAACTCTGTGCAACAGTAAACATTGCTATTATTACAACAGTATTTTTTTTTTAATTCCATCATTTCGTTTACATTCATAATGACATATTTACAACATTATTTCTATTTTTGTTAATGCATTTGAGCCTCTCCACAGCATTTTGCAGTGTAACGAGCGTATAGGATCACTAGCTATAGTTTAACAAATTAACTATATAAAATGGAATGAATTAAAATGTAAATACAGAAATCCTAAAAATCCGAATCAGCCGGTCCGTGTTTTCCAGCGGACTCGGCGCAGAGCAGCGAAGAGCTGGAGGAGATGCTTGATAATGCCATGCTGGAGCAAAGGGGCTCCGGACTGCACATTTATACACGTTCACATTTGCCTCTGTGGGAATTGGAAGTTTGGTATTGCAAATACACTTTTGAATATGTGAAAATATATGAACGCCTCTGCTCACCCCAAAACACCACCAGTTAAACGCATAGCCTATTTCAGCATATATTTTTTTCTCTGTTTCAACGCCTCAGTAATTGTTTTCACAGCTCGTGCCCATGCAACACACAGCCATCCCCTGACAGGACAGCGCTGGCAAGGGCTCCATCCACGATCTCAAATCTAATGGTGTGAATGAGGAGGAATCGGTGTGATGTGGGGCTGTGCGCTGCCTCGATGAATAATGTAGATGGGCATCAGCATGCGTCTATAGTCTCTGCGAAAACAAGGACGCTGAGAATCAACGCACACAGCCTTTTCTGCTCATTTAACAGCGACTTCGAGTATGGAAACGGGTCTGGTCGCGAATCATCAAGTGACAAATGTTGGAAGCGGAGATCCCCCTCCTTCGCCTCATCATCGCACACCTCCACAGCAACAGTCGCAAGCATCATTCCATCAGCAGCGAGCCGTGCACAACAACAACATCAACCCGACACCCGCGCGCGGAGATCGACAGCAGCATGGAGGGAAAGAGAACGCTCTGGAGACGCAGGTCGATCGCCATCTGTGTTTGCTGAACACAAGCGACGAGGAGGAGCGCTCGTCCAAAACCGGGGGGGATCGGATGGGCAGCAGGTACGAGCACTCCAACTTTGGACCATCGAGCAACAATAACAACAACAACAGCGGCGGCGGCGGCGGTGGCGCGTCCCAAAGCGGGAACAGCTCCGTTTCTGAGTTGAATCATTATTACGGGAATGGAAGAGGAGGGCCTTGCTTTGATCAACATGGCGGACAACAAAGCCCTAGGACGGCTTTAATGCATCAAGCACAGGGCAGCATGGATCAAGTGCAAAACTCCCACGAAGGGTACCATAATAATCCATACAACCACTATCCCAACTACCGGCCGGGGTACGGTGGCGCTGGATACGGTATGATGAGCCCATCGCGGCAGGGGAACATGATGGGCCCCGGTACCAATTCGCCTACCGCCGCTGCTGCTAGTCATGGCAAGGCTGCTATGGCCTCAACTACCCCAGCTCCCGGTGCCAACGTTGGGGGCTTTCAGAGGTTCCCCGGACAAAACCAGCAGCACCCTTCTGGAGCTACACCCACCCTAAACCAGCTCCTGACATCTCCGAGTCCGATGATGCGCGGATATTGCAGCGGTTATCAAGATTACAGTAACCCGCAGCAGCAGCAGTCCGGGATGGGTTTGGGCAAAGACTTGAGCTCCCCGTACAGCCCAGCTGCCAGCCACGGCTGGGGAGCACAACAAAGAAACCACCCGGCCATGAGCCCTGGGAATAACGGGAACAGCAGAGCTCAGGTGAACGTTTTAGCTTGCGTATGTATGTGTGTGTCAAGTTTCGCTTGCAGGTCTAGCCGTGGCCTGATGCTACTCGTATTACTAGCTTACAGTGTGCAGCTTTTATATTTATCCAATGCCAATTATCTGTGTAAATGGTGGAATATAATGCTGAGTTTGTTTTTTCCTGTTATAGTTATGATTATTCCGGGGTTTGGGCTTGTGTGCGGATTGACAGGCAGGTGAACATGTCAAGTTCTGCCCAAGGTGACTGTGTTAACGGTGTTAGCATGAGAGTTAGCCTGCGCTGAGACTTTCATTTCTGCTTTAAAGAGATGCTCGATACAGCGATTAGATATGCTGGGCTGCTTATATTCTTATAGACCGTATAATAATACAGTATTATTACCAAAAAGTCAGTGTCATGTTACTGAATAAATTATCGGTCGTGGTTTCGATAAAGAGCTCGTTCGTTAGGTGCCATTCAAATTATGGAACATTCTAGCATTGCGCTGCTGCTAAATAAAATTCGCTGCTTGTGCGTTCCGTTCCCGAGATCAATTGAAATAAAGCGATTTTGTGCTCTAATTCTACTTTCCAGATAAAATTTCGTTTTCAACGTTTGGTCACCAGTAAGCACTGTCTGTCTGAAACGAAGGGCTTAGACTGTGTTTTCAGTACACAGCGCTACTGATTAGCATTGTTAGCTGGTGTTAGCGCCTGGTCTGGCTTCATTATGCAGTAATTAATGTTTTCACATTCACCTCACATTCACTAGCTATATTTTAAAATATTATCCGTACTGGTTGTCTCAAACACAACATATTAAAATATAAAGAAATTATAAGGTGAGGTGGTGACTAAAGCTGTATTCCAAAACCCAGGAAGCTCACTAGGGTTTGAGACCATAAAGACCAAATATTTGACTAGTATGGTGACACGCTAGGTTTTGGCACTATGATACCCCAAATGCTGTCTAGGTAGGCTGTGCTTTAGCTTTTGAGATCCTAATACCCAAAATTGCTTTCTAGGTAGGAAGCCCACTGGGTTTTAAGAATGTAATGCCAGAAAATCCTATCTTGGTCGGCAGCTCACTAAGTTTTGAGACTATAATGTTGAAAAATGCTGTCTAGGTAGGCAGCGTACTTAGTTTTGAGATATAACCTTGGATGTCATAGTCCAGCTGGCAGAGTTACAGTTTTTCAAGTTCGATTTCAGTGATAAATTGACTTTGCTGCTTAATATGTTTTTGTGCAGGTCCAGGGGGGAAAGCTGATGAATCTATTGGAATAGTTTAGCATATATTAATATTCAGCCAGCTAAATGCTTTAGGTTTTGTCTTTGTTAAATGGTAAATGCTTATAGTGTAACAATTTGGTGTTACAATGTTTTGACAATTTTTTTAGTTAGTTGTTTACAACCAGTATGCGCACAATTATGTGTTTTGTCTATTTTGAGTTCTAAATCTGCATTTGTAGACAAAAAAACTGTGGTAAAATACAAGTTCTTATTTTTTCCTTCTATGGCTTATCATAAGCAAGAGGCAAAAGCTGCCTGCTTTCAGTTCTCCAGTTCTGCATCTGTGCGATCAGATGCTTTTTGGCTCTGGTCCTTCTCTGAATGGATGAGCAGTCCTGACCTTCACACATGCAGATTAGCCATGCTTTCATAGTGGCACATGAAGAACATTTGCGCTGGATTGCCCAGGAAACAGGACTGGAAGAGATGCCAAGACACCTGATAGCCCTCACACCTTCCATTCATTCTTGACTAATTTTGTACGACGCCTTGAGAGCATTTTGGATGTACCTTAGAAGATTAATGATTAACGAAGTCTGTTTGTCTACAGTTAATTTAGAGAAAAAAATGGAGCCCCACATAAACATTTAGAGGTGCCTTTGATCAGGAATAACGGTTGGAATAAAATTGCAGACTGGTTGAATTACATCAATAAGTTTGTGTTAGGCGGTGTGTGACAGATTTCAATTCTTTAGACATGCATGAAGATGATGTTGACATTTATGCTCATTTGCATTTTTAGGAAAAGGCTATTATAAGAATAACTTGAGTTGTTAATGGCTTATCTTCAGCATGAAGCCCATTTAAGCAGTCCACTTTCCCCAGGCCTCCAAGTGTGCGTTGCTCTGCCACTCTGGCTCCACGCAAAATGTAATTAGTGACAGAAATTCACCAATTTATTATGTGTTGTGTATGCGAGAAGTTTCACTCCCTTGTAAAAGCTTGAGGATGGTGGGATTTTTGGTTGTTTTTGAGAGTCTTTCATGCTCACCAAGGCTGCATTTATGTGATCAAAAATACAGTAACAACAGTAATACTGTGAAATACAATTACAACTTAAAATAAAATAAAATAAAAATGATACTTTTCATTTGGATAAATTAATGATAATTTTGATAATGATAAAAAAAATACTTTAAAATGTCTTTAATATTGAATAGGGTCACTTTTGATCAATTCAGTGCATCCTTGGTAAATAAAAGTAAAAAAAATCTTATAGACGACAATTTGAATGGTATTGCATTTAAATTATATACACAAATGCTAAATAAAATGCTAAATTTAGATAAAAGGTGCAAGCAAATGTTTTGTTACTTAAAAAAAAAAGTTTATTATTTACGTTTAAATATCCAATTTATGCTAGCTGTAAGAAAAATCTTCCAAGTTCCAATTTCTTTGTTGACTAGTAACTTCAACTGAAGTTCTGAGTTGCTTACAAACTGTACATTAGTTATTAATAAAAGAATGTAAGTAAATAAAGTAAGGCATTACGAATAATGAAACCCTGCCACGCTCACTTCCCTAGGTAATTTACATATCAGGGACTAGACCTATATTATCGGAATCATGAATTTGTTTAATAAAATGCCCTATTGGATATTTGTGTCATTAATATTTGTGTTATGAATGTAGTAACCATTTTATGAAGAAAGAAAACTCTCCGGGCTGTTCTATTTTGTGAAAATAGTCACTCTGCTGCACATAATGCCAACAAAGTCATTTAACTGTTACTATTTTCTCAGCATAGCATGACCTTGCGTACCTAATTGGTGATTTAATGATGGACTTGATCGTAGTGCATCAAGGAGGAGTGTTAGGAATAAATTAGAGGTGGAAATGGTTTATGCTTATAAAACGGTAGACTCGTCATTGATGACTTCAATTGTTCCTTGAGTAAGAATGACCTGGAAACTTCCAACAATGTTCCACTACAAATTCTTCAGGCATGGCCTAATGGTACACAAACGCTTTTTGTTCTAAACTCTCATTTGACAATATAGTTGTCTAGTCAGAGAAAATGTGTGTGTGTGTGACTGCAGAGCACTCTGGCATGACTGCTGATGCTTAAAATGTTCATTTATAGTGGCCTCCCAGGCTTTCTCAAATTGGTCACATTTTCTGTAAGTGCTGCTTCAATTGGCCTGAATTTGGCAGTGACATGAGAAGATTAGCTTGGATGGCTCTCAGTCTTTCTGGCAAAGATGAGACACTTGAGAGAAAACCTGACCCCCCCACCCCA